TTTCTGGTTTATAGATTCAGATGTACCAGAAGACATATATGACAAAGTACGTATCTGGGCCATCAGTTTTTTGAATCTATTTAAGTGTTTGAGCAGTGTGAAGCCGTCGCGCTGCTGCTGTGACCACGCCCTCCCTTAAATTTGAATGAGCGATAGCTATGAATTAATAAAGAATATATTTTCTAATTTAGATTGTTACCCGATCTTTTATCAATGCTGGCTGCAATCGTAAGGCCGTTGAGAAGGGTTGGCGCGCTTTACAAAACCTTGCACATACTGGTACATTTCAACCCATATTTTGATAGATACTAATAGACTGCGTAAATATTATATAAGGATTATAGCTCTGTCTAGATGAAGGTCGGAATTACCTCAATGAAATCTTTCACTTGGAAGAGAAATCTCGCCTTGAAACTCAAGACGATCATAAATTTCTTGCTGCTTTCATAAGAGAAGTCTTTGAAAGCATGGCAATGGTAAATTATCCTTATCCAACGGAATTCTTATCACCGTTGCCAGGCTGGCCAGTTAAGGTAGTCGATATTAGAATAGTTTATGCAATATTTTGAAAATTCTTCTTCAGGAAGCCTGCAAATTTTTGGTGACAGTCCCAAAATCAGATAAGGAAGCTGCCAGACAGCTGTATGAGGTAAGAAACTCCTCCACATCATGGGTTCCTTGTGGACGCATTTGCCTGAAGTCGGTGTTTGATCCGAACAATTTCAGGTTACAAACCTTTACTACAATCATACTGGCACAACTGAGTCCTTCTGCGCTAATGCCGAACGATGCGCTGGTGCATTCGCTGCACTCGGTGATCCAATGGGTTGGCCTTGGCAGGTACAATGCCTTTTATTGAAGATGGTTATTTATAAGAAATTACTGTGCGCTTCTAGTCATGCACCGAAATGGTGATGCCACTATGTGGAAGTGGCTGGCCGAACGATTTCTTTTGGAAAGATTGTCCATTTACAGTTGAGGGAGCTGCGCAGAACTGCAGAACATGGTAAGAATCAACAAATACTCTACTTTTGGCAATTCACCGTCTTCAAAGTAGTTTAGGTTCCAAAAGGCCGGCTTTGATCGCTC